AAAAAAAAAAAAAAAAATATTAAGAAAGAATAAGAAGCTGCCATCTAGCATCCATGAAAGAAAGGCCAAGAGGAGACAAGCTGGGGCCATATTGTCAAGCTGCTGCATTAACGAACTCTTCTTCTTGTAGGTGATAACAAATGAAATAGGTTATAATCTCTATATTTACAGATGAGGAAACCAAGGCACCAAGAGAATTAAATAACTTGTCCAAGGTCAGAGTGGTAGAACCAGGATTCAAATCCAGACAGCCTGGTTCCACAGTCTTTCATCTATGTACCTCCAAAGCAACCTAACTGCTACAAAACTGCTTCCAACAAGTACAATGACATTATGAGGTCTTTCTGATAATGCAAAATGTGCTTTTCATCATTTATAGGTTTCAGTAGGCGACTGCACTGTACATATATTGGTGTTGCAGTGGTACACACATATTATGAGTTTTTTTTACCCACAATTGCACATCTTGGAAGGAAGATATCTAGACTCTAAAAAGGTATTACAAAAACAGCTCGGGTTACGTCCCAGACATTCTGAAAAAGCTATCCCCTTCCCATAACTCTTAAATCCACCAGGACTTAATTTTAACAATGGTAAGGGGTAAAGATGGAAAAAAGTTTTCCCCAAAGAGTAATCATGTACGCCAAGACTGTTTTTGACTCATTCAGAAAATGAATGTACTCTGTTTCATGCAACCCATGAAATGTTATGATAAAACAGCAAAATAGGGAAAACATGTTTCTTGATCTTATGGAGCTTCCTGATGTAGTGGAACAGAAATGACAATGTAGCAACTCCATGTGGGACGGTTGTTTGGAATAGTGATACAGTGACAGCTATGGAGTCTTACCTCTAAGCTGCGATGGAAGGTGTTTGATGGACAGTACCTCTTGCACAACATACTGATTCACCCCTCCACTTTTCAACAACTCCTCTGGGGATAATGGCAGATGGAACTCATACATCTGGGGGGCCATCTTCTCCTACAGGCTCACAGGGCTAGAAACCAAACAGTGAAAAGGTCAGGATCTATACTCAAGACCTGTCTTTATATCTGGTTCTATTACTTCCCCACCCCCAACATGCAAAATGGCTTTTAGTCTTACAGCAAGCTAATAACATTATCTGACAGGATGTGAGATTGACCCTGGACTAGAAACTAATTCTAGTAGCAACTTTGCCACTTGGTCTTGTTACTTAAACCCCTGGGCCTTATCTGTAAAAGACAGAGTGACTAATCTCTGATTACTTCACAAAGTTGCTCTGATGACCAAACGAATCAAGCAGTAGGAAGGTGTTTAAAGAACTATGAAGTGGCATATGCCACTTCATAGTTCTTTAAAGTTAGTATTATTTCCATTTTTATGTGCAAAGCTCTTAAGTACAGAGAAAATGGTCTGGTCTCATCTGAGGCTAGAACAGTGCCCCAGCAGGGGCTAGTGGGCCTCCTGCACCAGAATGGGAACAGCGTTAACACTGACGATTTATTTATCCTGTGCCAGGTCTGTTAGGCTATCTGTATATATCATATCTATCTAAGTCTCCTATCCTCAGTCCTACGGGGTGCATAATAATACAACTGCGTTTACAGAGCGGGAATTGAAATAAGAAAGGTTAAGCGATTTGCTTAACATCTTCCGTTGCGGATGTGTCAGACTTAACAGTTTCTCCCACATTGCGCCCCAAGGACATGCCTACTAGACCTCCCTGCCTATTGTATACTGTCCAATACCAGGTCGCACAGCCATGTACTCGATTTTCCTACTCTTTTAGGACCTGCGACACCACATCTTACCTGGGGATCTCGCCCGCGGATCCTCTGACTCCGGCAGTCGGGCTGAAATGAACAGGAAAAAAACACGCGTGCACAACACACACCAATCAGCGAGGCAGTTTTCAAGTTGGCGGAGAAACCGGCCAATCCCCGGCAGGCAGAGGCAAAGGCCCGCCTCTGAGTCTGGCAACCCGCGGGCAAAGCCACAAATACCGAGTTCAAATCTCAACGGCTGCAGGAGGGCCAATCGCGACGGTCGCCGGAGCGGCCGGCCAATCACAGCGCAGCCCGGGGGCGGGCCAAGGCTCCGGCTCCGGCTCCGGCCCCCGCACCCACGCCCTACTCGCCCGCTAATGCCTCCTTGCCCGCCAGGCCCCCCTTTGCCCTATCGGCGGGGAGGCCGTATTGCTGCGGGCCAGAGATGTCGCGTCCCTGGCTGGGCAGCAGTAGTGCCCTGGAATACTGAACCATTCAATCACCTCCAGGAAAGGAGGCAAGTCCACGCTGGGAGTTAAAAGGCATCGCCTCTAATCCAGGTTTCGCCATTTCCTCCGCTAAGTGACGTCCAGCAAGTCACTTTCAGGGCCTCAAATTTCCTTCCCCGTAGTAAAATGGGGATAATAAAAACAGCTACAGCGCAAGACTGCTGTGAGGCACAGAGAAAGGGCTTGGTCTTTGGAAGCGGATTCCAGGTTCTCAACCTTCATATCCTTCACACTTGAAGGACGCCAAAGAAAGTGGAAAGGGTGAATTTTCTTGAAATCTCAGTTTTTGGGAATCTTGGCGACGAGTCGCGGACCTCAGCTAATTCAGCTCTCCAAAACCTCCGGCGGACAAACCGGAAGCACTGAGGCGGGACCCCTCGGAGGTACCACTCTGGCCGGAACCAGGAGGGCGGGTCCTAGGCGGGTCCTGCGCCCACAGCTACCTGGGTAAGGCCCAAGATGGCTGCCTTCACGTTGGTATACTTGTGAAGTCGGCGGGGACAGTTCCTGTCGTCATCTTCTTGAGGGCCACATTTGGTCCTCATTCTTGGGCTTGTTTGGTGTGCTGTTGAAAGCGGGACTAGAGAGATGGCAGGGAGCCTCTTATGCGGGGCAGGTCGGCGCCTGTTGGACTGGGTGCCTTTGGCGTGCAGAAGCTTCTCTCTCGGTAAGTGGCTGATGTCGACGCCCCGATAACCGCTTCGTAGTATAATAGGCGGCTCAGATTTATTCCCTCCCTTCCCCATCTTCAGATGTTCCTAGATTGATCGGTATAAGGCTCACCCTCCCGCCCCCCAAAGTGGTTGATCGTTGGAACGAGAAGAGGGCCATGTTCGGAGTGTATGACAACATCGGGATCCTGGGTAAGACTGGACCCTCGACGTGGTACAGAATTTCAGAATGACAATTACGTTGCAACGACTATCTTTTCCTCCTGAGAGGAATACTGACCTCAATAGTAAGAGCAAACACGTATGTAGCTGTTTACATTGTGTTTGGCACTGTTCTGAGTGCTCTCATATAATTTTTACTTCATAAGTGAGGAGACTGAGGAACGAACGGAGAAATCAGTTTTTCCAAAGTTAATAAATGTCAGTGTCAGAATTTTAACCCCAAGAAGTCTGGCTCCAGAGTCTGTGCTATTGATTCTGTAACGTGTCTTGTCTATAGGTGTTGCTCAGCAAGATGCAACTGTGGGTTGAAAGCTTAGCTGGTGTAGGATGGGTCCTCTTATCTTGGATCTAATGTGTTCTCACATTACACAGGAAACTTTGAAAAGCACCCCAAAGAACTGATCAGGGGCCCCGTATGGCTTCGAGGTTGGAAAGGGAATGAATTCCAACGCTGTATCCGAAAGAAGAAAATGGTTGGACACAGAATGTTCGCTGATGACCTGCACAACCTTAATAAACGCATCCGCTATCTCTACAAACATTTTAACCGACATGGGAAGTATCGATAGAAGAGAAAGCTGAGAATTGCGGAAAAGGCTCATCTGTTACCCTGGAGAAGGGAAACTACTTTTCCCTATGAGGAAACGGCTTTGTATGCTCTCTGTAATAAAATGGGGCTTCTTTGGAATCTGGTAGTCACATAACTTTGTTTTCCTTTAATGCTGCCTCTACTCATGTAGACTATGAAGTCTTGACTCATCCTAGGTTTTAGGGTCTTAGGTTTGGGCTTCACACCACTTGCCTTTTACAGTCTAACTATACCTAATGCCTTTAAAAAAGAAAAATTGATGAGAATGTCATCAGCACTTTTTGACATAATGCTTATAGCAAGCTAATAACAATTAGGTTAATAGTGTTTCTAAAGACCTTCCACTCTGAAATGAAATATAATAGAAAAATGGAGTTTGAATGTAAAACCTGAGGGGAGGAAAATGGAGTTATACTTCTCTATTATTCTCATATTTATTAGGCATTTTCTCTTGAGTAGGAACTACAGGAAAAACAAAAAAGTGTGAGGTGTTTTTTCCATTTTAATATGAAGCATTAAGTACCATGTGAGCGGTAGAGATGGGGGATTCTAAGCCTGACTGGTCCTCAGAGTTGTCTGGGTGTTTTAACATTTCAGAAGCCTAGTCCAGCCCCTAAAGATTGTGATCAGTGAGCTGAGTTGAGTCTAGGGCATCTATGTGTTTTGTTCTTTTTCAATAGTAATTTTTTAAAATTACAGCTGGACATAGTGGTACCCACATGTAATCCTAGCATTTTGGGAGGCCGAGGTGGGAGGATTGTTTGGAGCCAGGAATTTGAGACCAGTCTGGGCAACATGGCGAAACCCCTAAAAATACAAAAAAATTAGCTGGGCGTGGTTCGGCGTCCCTGTAGTCCCACCTACTCAGGAGGCTGAGGTGGGGGGATCACCTGAACCCAGGAGTTTGATGTGATCTCAGTTTGCTGTGAACTGAGATCATGCCATTTCATTCCAGCCCGAGCAACTGGGGTGAGACCCTGTCTCAAAAAAAGTGAACTTAGGGCTGGGTGCAGTGGCTCCAACCTGTAATGTCAACACTTTGGGAGGCCAAGGCATGAGGATTACTTGAAGCTAGGAGTTCAAGACCAGCCTGCGCAACATAGCAAGACCCCATCTGTATATTTAAAAAAACAAAAACTGTAAAAGTGAAGTTAGATTAATAAACACTTGTTGCAGGGCATGGTGGTTGGTGTGCACTTATTATCCCAGCTACTGTGCAGCTGAGGTGGGAGGATCCCTTGAGACCAGGAGTTGGAGGCTGGCCTTAGAAACATAGCAAGACACCATCTTTAATAAAAATAAAAAGTACCTGTTAAATTACAAGTGGGTTTTGGATAAATGGATTGATGGGTATATATGAAAACATGATCCTGGGTCTTAATGGAAATGTTTAGGAGAGTCAGTTTTCAGAGGGGTGGCTGGAGAGGAGCTATGAATGAGAATGGAGAGGTTGGTGTGAAGTGTGATTGGCTGTGATACTTTACATCATTTGGTGATACTGGAGTGTAGAAAATAAAATATTTGGGACTCTGCTAAGTGCAAGGCACCCTAAAGAAGATATCTACATATCTTGGTAGAGTATCTAATTGTTAGTGAAGAGGAAATTAATAGGTCAACAGGCATTTATAGAATATTTCTTGCTCCAAAGATACAAAAGATCTTGTTTTCAAGGACAGAACAACCTTGTTTGTGGTATGAAACGGTATATAACATTTTCCTTCAATAAATACTGAACTATTATGTGCAAGGATTTTTGGAGGAACAAAAATCACCAAGGTAGGGTTGGTTCCAACCTCTAAGTAGTCTTCATTCTACTTAAAAGATGTCTGAAGGATATAAAGTTACAAGATGATGGACCAGTGTGATACTGTGCAGAATGTGCAAATGGTCCACATTTTTTAGACTACATCATGACCGAGAACAGAATTAACCTAACCCTAATGGGGCCGGGCACGGTGGCTCACGCCTGTAATCCCAGCACTTTGGGAGGCTGAGGCAGGTGGATTGCCTGAGCTCAGGAGTTCAAGACTAGCCTGGGCAACACGGTGAAAACCCATCTCTACTAAAATCCAAAAGTTTAGCCGGGTGTGGTGGTGTGCACCTGTGATCCCAGCTACTTGGGAGGCTGAGGCAGGAGAATCGCTTGAACCCGGAGAAGCAGAGGTTGCAGTGAGCCAAGATCGTGCCACCACACTCCAGCCTGGGCGACAGAGTGAGATTCTGTCTCAAAACAACAGCAACAACAAAACAAGCAAACAAAAAAACATAGACCTGATGAAAGACCATGACTGTATACTATTGTTCACCCCCTCCCTGGTGGACTACTTCTGACCATCTCTTGATTTAGAAAAGAATGAAGGGCCGGGCGCGGTGGCTCAAGCCTGTAATCCCAGCACTTTGGGAGGCCGAGGCGGGTGGATCACGAGGTCAAGAGATCGAGACCATCCTGGTCAACATGGTGAAACCCCGTCTCTACTAAAAATACAAAAAATTAGCTGGGCATGGAGGCGCGTGCCTGTAATCCCCGCTACTCAGGAGGCTGAGGCAGGAGAATTGCCTGAACCCAGGAGGCGGAGGTTGCGGTGAGCTGAGATCGCGCCATTGCACTCCAGCCTGGGTAACGAGCGAAACTCCGTCTCAAAAAAAAAAAAAAAAAAAAAAAAAAAAAAAAAAGTAGCTGGGCATGGTGGCATGTGCCTCTAGTTTCAACTACTCGGGAAGCTGGGTGGGAAGAATTGCTTGAGCCTGGGCAGTCGAGACTGCAGTGAACCAAGCCTGTGACACTGCACCTCAGCCTGGGCAACAAAGTGAGACCCTATCTCAAAAGAAAAACAATGTATTTGCTAAATCAGTGGTCACAAACCACAAATGTGAGGCTATGTTAATCTGTTCCAATAAAGATATCCCATCCAGCAGACAATTAGCACTGGGACTCCCACTTGGTTAAATTGGCAGCAGCTTCATCCAGTTTATGCAGGGGCAAGACTGGGAAAAAAAAAAAGATATGTATGTAAACAAAATATGAATTTGAATATGATGATAAAAATTAGTCCCATGAGAGTTTTTGTTTGTTTTGTTTTTGCTGAGGGGATGGTCAGAAAAGGTATTTGTTGAAAAGATGGCATTAGAATGAGGTCTTGAGGCCAGGCACGGTGGCTCACGCTTGTAATCCTAGCACTTTGGGAGGCCAAGGTCGGCAAATCACTAGAGCACTTTGGGAGGCTGAGGCGGGAGAATCACTTGAACCTGGGAGGCAGAGGTTGAAATGAGCCGAGATCGCGCCACTGCACTCCAGCCTGGGGGACAGAGCAAGACTCCATCTCAAAAGAACAAACAGAAACAAAAAACAAACAAAAACAGCAACAACAAAAAGAAACAATGCATGTTTGCCAAACAAAATAACTGTGAAGTGATTTAGAATGTCATCTATGTGGAAGGAGTGGAATGGGGAAAAGGGGAATATACAAAGGAAAGAAGGCAGGGTCCTTCCATGGATAAGTGAAAATGCTCATCAGGAATTGACGAGTATTATTAACTTCATCTTCTGCACCTGAGGTCTCCTGGCAATACAATGTTCTATTTTTCGTCCTTAGGGATATTCATACTCTAAGAAACACTCGTATAAAAAACCACTCCTGGCTGGGCACCTGTGATCCCAGCATTTTGGGAGGCGGTGATGAAACCATTTTTGATCACTTAAGATCAGAAGTTTGAGACCAGACTGGGCAACATGATGAAACCCATCTCTACTAAAAATGCAAAAATTAGCCGGGTGGTGGTGTGTGCCTATAATTCCAGCTACTTGGCAGGCTGAGGCAGGAGAATCGCTAGAACCTGGGAGGCGGAGGCTGTGGTGAGTTGAGATCGCTCCACTGCCATCTTAAAAGCAAAAAACAAAAAAAAATCTCACACTCCTGTTGTTTCTTTAACTTACCAGTATCTATACCAGGTCAAACACTTTAGCACATTATCAATTCCCTTTGGTATTCTTACTACCTATTACACACGTATGTGTAATGTACATGTCTAATATATGTATGTTTGTTGTTTTGGTAATTTACACATATGCTAGTTCAAGATAGCTGTATTAATTTGTTAGGTCTGCCCTAAGAAAGTACTATGGCCAGGCATGGTGGCTTCTGCCTGTAATCCCAGCACATTGGGAGGCAAAGGGGGATGTGGATCACTTGAGGTCAGGAGTTCGAGACTAGCCTGGCTAACATGGTGAAAACCTGTCTCTACTAAAAATACAGAAATTAGCCCATGTGGTGGTAGGCACCTCCAATCCCAGCTACTCAGGAGGCTGAGCCAGGAGAATTGCTTAAACCTGGGAGGCGGAGGTTGCAGTGAGCTGTGATTGTGCCACTGAACTCCAGCCTGGGTCTTTTTTTTTTTTTTTTTAAGATGGGGTTTCACCATATTGGTCAGGCTGGTCTTGAACTCCTGACCTCAGGTGATCCACCCACCTCAGCCTCCCAAAGTGCTGGGATTACAGGCATGAGCCACTGCGCCCGGCTGAGATGAAGTCTTTCTCTGTCACCCCGGCTGGAGTACAGTCAGGTGATCTCAGCTCATTGCAACCTCCTCCTGAGTTCAAGAGGCTCTCCTGCATCAGCCTCCTGAGTAGTTGGGACTACAGGTGCCCACCACCAAGCCCAGATGATTTTTGTACTATAAGTAGAGACAGGGTTTCACCATGTTGGCCATGGTTGGCAAGGCCGGTCTTGAAATCCTCACTTCAGGTTATCCACCCTCCTTGGCCTCCTACAATGCTGGGATTATAGGCGTGAGCCACCTCACCCAGACAAAAATCTATATTTTTATTGCGATATAATTCTCACAACATACAATTCCCCTTTTAAAAAAAAAAAAAAAGCTTTTTTTGAGACTGAGTCTCATTCTGCCACCCAGGCTGTAGTGCAGTGGTGTGATTACTGCTCATTGCAGCCTCCACCTCCAGGGCTCAAGGGATCCTCCCACCTTAGCCTCCTGAGTAGCTGGGACCACAGACATGCACCACCACATCGGGCCAATTATTTTTATTTTTGGTAAAGATAAGGTTTCATCATGTTGTCCAGGCTGGTCTCGAACTCCTGAGCTCAGGTGATCTGCGTTGGTCTCCTGAAGTGCTGGGATTACAGACGTGAGCCACTGTGCCCGGCCAGTGGTTTTTAGTAATTTCATACCCTTACTGCAATCAATTTTAGAACATTTTTATCATTGCCTCAAAGTAAAACCCTACACTCCACAGCCTCACTCCCAATCCTCCTCTATGGATTTTTACCTATTCTGGATATTTCATATAAATGGAGTCATACAATATGTGATCCTTTATGACTTCTTTCACTTAGAATAATGGTTTCAAGGTTCACACCTACATCATAGTTTTTTTTTTTT